AAAAAAAAAAAAAAAAAACACCTTTAGTGAGCTATAACTCACACATCATATAACTTACCCATTTAAAGTATACGTGTCAGTGCTTTCTTATATTCAGCGTTGTGCAAGGATCAACATGTCCCCCTAAAAGCTCCACACTTGTTAACAGTCATTCCCCATTTTCCCCTCCTCCAGCCCTTGGCAACATTAACCTACATTCTCTCCGTGGATTTGCCTATGCTACACATTTCATATAAATGGAATCATACCAGCCAGGCATCGTGGCTGTAATCCTAGCACTTTTGGAGGCCAAGGCAGGCAGATCACCTGAGGTCAGGAGTTCAAGACCAGCCTGGACAAAATGGTGAAACCCTGTCTCTATTAAAAATACCAAAAAAAACAGCTACTCATGAGGCTGAGGCAGGAGAATCACTTGAACCCAGGAGGCGGAGGTTGAAGTGAGTCAAGACCACACAACTGCACTCCAGCCAGGGCGACAGAGTAGTATTGTCTCAAAAAATAAATAAATGGAATCATACTATATGTGGCTTTTGTGATTCTTCTTTCACTTGGCATACCATCTTCAAGTGTCATCCCTGGTGTGACATCTATCAATACATCCTTTCTCTTTGCAGTTGAATTAATATTCTGTTGTACAACTATTTCACATTTTGTTTATTCAGTCATCACTTAATGGACATTTGGGTTATTTCCACTTTTCTTTGGCAATTATCAATAATGGTAGTATAAACATTTGTGTACAACGTTTTGTGCAGACCTATGTTTTCAATTCTCTTGGGTACCTTGAGGTAGAAATGCTGGGTCCTATGGTAACTCTATTTTTGGCATTTTGAGGAACTGTGAAACTGTTTTCCAAGGTGGCTGCATGTTTACATTTCCACCTGCAATATTAGTTCCAATTTCTCCACATCCTTGCCAACACAGTCTATTCTTTTGATTACAGTCATACTAGCGAGTGTGCAGTAGTATCTCACTGTGATTTTGATATGCATTTTCCTGATGACTAATGATGGGCATTTCTTCATGTGCTTATTGGCTGTCTGTATATTTTAATTCTTAAAAAGTAATTGATTATTTATTTATTTTAGAGATAGGAGTCTCATTCTGCCTCCTAGGGTAGAGTGCAGTGGTATGATAGTAGCCATGTTCACACCACTGCACTCCAGCCTGGGAGACAGAACAAAACCTTGTCTCAGAAGAAAAAAAAAGCATATGATTCAGATTAAAAACATATATTTTAAATGTTCGGGAAAAAAAAATTTTGTGGGGGCTGGGTTCCGTGGTTCACACCTATAATCTCAGCACTTTGGGAAGCCAAGGCAGGTGGATCACATGAGGTTAAGAGTTCGAGACCAGCCTGGTCAACATGGTGAAATCCCTTTCTCTACTAAAAATACAAAAATTAGCCAGGTGTGGTGGCGCACACCTGTAGACCCAGCTGCTTGGGAGGCTGAGGTAGGAGAATCACTTGAACCCAGGAGCCAGAGGTTGCAGTGAGCTGAAATCATGCCACTGCACTCCAGCCTGAGTGGCAGAATGAGACTCCGTCTCAAATAAGGAAAATTTTAAAAATAGAGAAAAGGCCAGGCACAGTGGCTCACACCTGTAATCCCAGCACTTTGGGAGGCTGAGGCAGGTAAATCACAAGGTCAGGAGATTGAGCCTATCCTGGCCAACATGGTGAAACCTCATCTCTACTAAAAATACAAAAATTAGCTGGGCATAGTGGCGTGTGCCTGTAATCCCAGCTACTCAGGAGGCTGAGGCAGGAGAACAGTTTAACCAGGGAGTTGGAGGTTGCAGGGAGCCAAGACCATGCCACTGCACTCCAGTGTGGTGACAGAGTGAGACTTCATCTCAAATAAATAAATAAATAAGAGAAAAAACATGTTTGTTGGTTTGGTTTTTTTTTTTTTTTTTTTTAAGAGACAGGGTTTCGTCATGTTGCCCAGACTAGTCTCAAACTCCTGGGCTCAACCCATCCTCTTGGCCACCCAAAGTCCTTGGATTACAGGCATGAGTCACTACACCTCACCTGGTTTTCTTAGTTTTGTTTCTGTTTTTTCTGAGACAGAGTCTCGATCTATCACCCAGGCTGGAGTACAGTGGCCTCAGACTCAAGTAGCTGGGACTACAGGCATGCACCACCATGCTCAGCTAATTTTTATATTTTTAGTAGAGACGGGGTTTCACCATGTTGGTCAGGCTGGTCTTGAACTCCTGACCTCATGATCCACCCACCTCGGCTTTGCAAAGTGCTGGGATTACAGGCATGAGCCACTGCACCCAGCCCCTTTTCTGTTGTTTTTTTTTCTTTAAACAGTCTTGCTCTGTCACCTAGGCTGGAGTGCAGTGGCACAAACACAGCAGCTCACTGCAGCCTCAACCTCCTGGGCTCAAGCAATCTTATCTCAGCCTCCCAAGTAGCTAGGACTATAGATGCATACCATCATGCCCAGTTAATTTTTTTGTTTTTTCATAGAGACAGGGTTTCACCATATTGCACTCCAACGGGCTCTAGCAATCTGCTTGCCTCAGCCTCCCAAAGTACTGTGATTACAGGCATGAGCCAGTGCAACAGGCTGATTTTT